AATACCGGAAGTTCGTTAGCACACACAAAGATACAGAGTTTTTGGGGATATTGATATCCCCAACACCTCTACTTGTGAAAAGTCAGTAACATACTCGACGTGGGTCGACCTGGATACGTTCCGGCTGGGGGCAGCGTCGGTCTGTCCACCGTCTGGGAAGAAGTGCTGGATCAAATGCTGAGCTGCCGGTCACACTCTCTTCTTTCGAAACTACCTCAGTTTTCAGCTCAAAAGTTCGAGCATTATGTCCAACGGTACGGTACCCGGACATGCTTGAGTTTCTGGCGTGCTTTTAAGCGGAGTTGGTTTTGATTTCTGGTCCAGGGGTCTTGACCAACTGACACGTCGTACATCACACTGCCGCGTTTGCGCAGTATACGACCTGCCATCCACGAATCATGTCCCCGGCGATAGCCACGGACAAGTACGGGCGTTCCCACCTTGAATGGAGTTCCAGCTACCACCGGTATGGACCTTGACTCAATAGATTGTGTTGGCAACATGGAAGAATGCACAGTTCTCAGTTTACGGCCCATGAGTGCCCCTGCAGGTAACGGGTGGTTCACCACAGCGTCATTTGGGGGTCGTTCGGTACACAAACAGGAATCTCTGAAGGGCTTCGACGGATGTCTCCTCCCCTCGAGCTTTAAGCAAAGCCCTCTTGAATGTGGCGACGAACCTTTCTGCTTGACCGTTCGATTGTGGGCGGTACGGTGGTGAACGAACGTGCGTTATCGCATGTCGAGTGCAAAAGTCGCGGAACTCAGCCGAGGTGAACTGCGAACCATTGTCTGAGACGACGGTATCCGGTAAGTCATGCTCACTGGAAATGTTGTATAACACACGCAACGTACTAGATGTTGTTGGAGATGACACCGGAATGATTTCTGGCCACTTGGAAAAAGCGTCAATCCAAACCAAAGAAAAAGTGCCACGTGTCGGTCCTGCGTAATCAATGTGGATCCGAGACCAAGGCTTCTTAGGTCTAGGCCAGGGAACCGGTGGTTGATGTGGCGGATTCTTGGCAGCTTGTTGGCATCGGGAGCAGCGTTTTACAAAACCAGCGATGTGTTGATCCATGTGCGGCCATTATGCGCAACTGCGAGCTATTGACTTCATACGGTTGATTCCTGGACGTCCAGAATGAAACTGACGGAGAACTCGATGGCGTAAAGATTGGGGAATCACGACGCGATCTCCAAGCATTAAGCACCTCCATTTGAACCGAAAATAGACAGCAAAGGTTCATGATCGTTAAGTAGGATGAAACGGCGAACGTATAACAACTAATGGAAACGCCGGACGGCTAACACTAAGGCCAGAGCTTCTTTCTCTAACTGACTATAACGCTGTTCTGCTGGCGTTAGTGATTTCGACGCGTGTGTGATGGCCTTCTCTGATCCGTCTGGGAAAACGTGCAGAATGACGGTACCGACACCAAAAGCAGAGGCATCAGCTGCTACAACGGTCGTTAGCTTTGGGTCGTAGTGGGTCAGTAGCAGATCGGAACTGAGCATCGCCTTTAGCTTGCAGAATGCTTCCTCGCATTCTTCTGACCGACCCCAGAGGACGTCCTTTCCAAACAATTGGTTTAGTTGGGGTCGAATGTCGTGTAGCGAAGGCAAGAATGCCGAATAATAGCTGATTAACCCCAAAAAGGGGGCGTAATGATGGGATACCCTTAGGAGGTGGTATCTGCTGTATAGGTCGGACGTTCTGCAGGTCAGGGTGACGACCAGAGGCGTCGAAGATGAACCCAAGATATTTCACAGTTGTCAAGAAGAATTGACACTTTTCGCCACAGGAGCGGAGGCCATTGTCCTGAATGCGCAGTGAGACGGCACTGATTCGATCACGAAGCTCTTTGGGTGAAAGAGCAACGATCAGCACGTCGTCCAGGTAATCGACCACACCTGGAATGCCAGAAAGGATGATGTCGGTCAACTGATGGAAAATTGCTGGGGCGGTTTTGACGCCAAACGGGAGACGTTTGTATTGATACAGCCCGCGGTGTGTTGATTGTCAGTAGTGGGCTTGATTCTGGTGTGACTTCAACTTAAAGGTACGCCTCAGCAAGGTCGATTTTGGCGAACTTCCCACCGTTCAGAACAGTGAATAGATCGTCAGGTACTGGCAGTGGATGGTGGTGCTGCTGGATAGCTGCATTTAGGCCGGTTGGGAAATCAGCACATATGCGGATGTTGCCGTTGGGTTTCTTCACCACAACGATCGGCGCTGCTCAGGCGGAGTAGGATAGGGGACAGAACACCTTGTTCTTTTAACCGTTGAAGTTTGGCATCTACCAGTGGGCGGGAAGCTTATGGACCTGGTCTCGGATGCATCATCTGGATGCGCCGTGGGAGACTGAACTGCATTGCACATGACACTGATTGGAATGTCGCCTAACCCCAAGTGATCGAACCAATCATGACCCAATAAGTTCAGCTCAGCTGCGTTACATAACGCGACCCCACGAATGTAGTTCCTCGAAAAGATACAAAGCATTGGAGCTCACCGGAAAGTTTTAACTCTCCACCGCAGGCACTGGTAGCAGTTCGAGCTGCTTGTCTGATCGGAGGTTGCCCGAGCGTGCGCCAAAGCTTCTCCGAAGTGATGGTAATGTCCGACGCAATGTCCAACTGCAGAAGGACTGGATGGTCATTGACGGTGACTGTGTGTCAGGACGCGTCCAGACAGAAAAAAAGCACGTACAGAGATTGGCGCATCCTCAAGGTCACCATTGGTTCGAAACGTCCGGAAAGTAGGTGAGTTGGCGGTTCTCACCAAACACGGCTTAGCAGCATACGACCAGCATAGTGGGCCTGAGATTGTTCACGACCGGAATACCGCCATTGGCTGTACGGAGCGAACAAGTGAACAACCATATTTGGCCATTTAGTCATTCTATATATTACGCAGACGCTCTGTATGTTTTGTCCTGGCAATGCAGCCGTGTTCCCTGTCTTCTTATTGCGTAGTCTGGCAGGCTCAGTGCAGGCGTAACCAATAGACGGCCACCACAAGATACAACACTGCTTCCGGTGACCTGGCGTCCAATGGTGCAAGACAAGGCTCTCCGCTTCCTCCTTTTTCTTCACCTTTGTTATTGATATGCTGCTTGAAGTTTCTCTGCTTGTCTATGGAACTCCGAGACGTTCCCTCAGAGTCGTTGAGTATGCCGACGGTATTGCTCTCCTTGGTTCACATCCTTCCCAAATGCAGACGATTTTGAATAATCTGAATAGCTCTGACACACGATTTGGCCTGCGCTTCACACCTGCAAAGTGTAAAATGCTGCTAGAAGACTGCATGTGTTTATACTCAAATCTCGTGCTTGCAGACGAGCCAATCGATGTAAATTTGTTTCCAAATAAGCAGTTGTATGCGTTTCGGTTAACTTGCTGGAGATGAGATTACTTCCCGGATCTGACCAGCCAGTGAAGCTTTTAACAACCTCCGACACCTATGGCGCAGGCGTCACGTGATTTCGTCTGTCATGGGCAGAGTTCACACTGCGGTGGTGGGGTCCATACTGTTCTATGGGTTAGAAATTTGGCCCCTACGTGCAGAGGACATACGAAAGATGTCAGCATTTGACCATCACTGTCTCCGAAGCATTGATCAGGTCTGGCAGGAACATTGGATTGGTACGCCAGATTGATTTAGGAAGAAGGAACTCCCTCGATAGATGAATTCATCATCATCATCGATGCTTTACTGGCGTACAAGCATGATTTATTTGAAAGCCTTATTGTAAGGAAAAGAATAAAGGTAGACGGGGAAGGAACTTAGTGCTAGCTTAATACAACCATTCCGAGGTGCCTACACATCCAGACACTCATCCAGGTAATCTGGATAGAAACTGACAACAAGGACGCTACTGGCATCGGTTGGCAGCCGTATCTTGCAGTGTCTCCAGCCATGCGCAGGGGGGTTCCCGCGGTCCCTATCCTGGAAGGCTAGTAGCAACGACAACGCACAAGCGTCTGGTAATCTCCTCCATACCCCTATCCCAGGTCAAGGTTGGGCTACCTCTCTGTTTACGCATGGGCATGGGAAACAGCACCCTCTTCTGCAAACGATGGTTCGGCATACGCAATACATGTTTCAACCAACGCAGCATCTGGGGCTGGACACACTTCAACGAAAGTGCCCGTTGCAGATAGATTAATTACCCCCGCTTCGTAGGTTGCGCTGGTAGGACATGTACTCCACGTACCAGAAGACGGTCTCCCTCGTAGGGCTCTTTTTGACCAGCCCTGCGCTGAGTGGAAGCGACCGCGAGGTGGACCGTGTATGACCTGCCAACAGAGTACGAAAACATTAACTGGTAAACCTAGTCAGGTCGGCAACTGTCGTCTCCCTAGATGGGTTCCCCGGGGCTCAATTCACCAATAATTGATGACGTTGGCAGAAAAGTTCCAATCACGCACTCAGTGGTGCTCGCTTATCAAAGCTACTGCCCTTGATGCGTAGCTACCTCATTCCTGAACTGAATGAACATGCCATCGCCTCCAAGGCTTGGCCGTATGTCCCACACTCTCCACTTTCTGATGATTCAAACTGTAGGATCTGGAACCAGTGCGCCAAATGTTACGCGGTTTATAGCTGATAAATTGAACTGCATTGAACTGAGATTGACGTTTGGTGTGTGTTCATATCATAGCTTGTTATGGACAATAAAGTTGCTGGGGATTAGGTTTTTTTCGGTGGAATGCGAAGTCAAAGTGAATTCGACGGGATCGAAAATGGAATATGGCTCAATACGTACTCAAACGAAACTAAGCAACCTACTACTGCTACTGGTGGGTTATTTTTCCGATGGGAATAAAACAGTAACCAAATAGTTACGGCATTCAACTTTCGCCCATTCAGTTCGCTTTTGGCTGCCTCCACACTCTTATTTGTTTGAGATCACAGACACCTTATCAGTATCCGTGCATGCATCGTTAGCTATCCACTAATAACACCTGTCAGATTATATCTTATGTTCACCTTTCAGCACACCGGAGCTCTGTGCTATATTATCATTTATTCAGTGGGGAGGTCGCTGTACACATAATCACTCCGCCATTATCGCAGTGATATCTGGATCTCCATCTCGCTTTTTACAGACATGAATAGACATGAGCATACTTGTTAATCCATATACGCCAAAAATCAGAGTTGTACACGAATCACCGGGCCATGAAGTTTCTGGCAACAGCTTGAATCCAACCGTCTCTAGTACCTGTGCAGATATTTTCCGCGTCATGTATTCTCCGAACATTTCGGTCCTGGACCATCAAGAGACCGTTGAGACGGATGATTCTCATCAGACTTCTGATATCTCACCAGACAGAGACAAAGGTAAACAAACGTCTGTAATCTTCATAATTTATCGTGCGCGCGTTATATGTGTCGATGAGTTTTTCGCTTGTTCATCAACGAGCTTAGGAAGAATACCTGTCTGCTGCGCCCAACGGAACACTGAATGTAAAGCCGTCGCCATTTGTGGTGATTCTATCACAAGCTGGTGCAACTCTCCCAAAATGACTGCTGTTCTGTGTGCTTTCGTTCTTGGGAGAATTTCCGTTTCTAGTTTGAGCCAAACTTAACGGGATCAGTAGTCCCGAAATGCTTCGTGTTCTAAGCTCATCAGCGGAACATCAACGTGGTTCCGTCTGATATGCTAGTTTCACCGTGAATTAATTCGTCACCGGTCGGTAAATTCGTACCTACAAAGTCTTCGTATCTGAATCGATTAGCATGCCCTTTGCCGTGTTGATTTTGGCTTTTTAATTTAGTGAATACGTCATAATATATGTTGTCTGGGTTTTGAAAACCTTATCTTACATCTCACCTTTATCTTTTGAAGATGATCCGGTCACAAACAGTTTGTTCTCCTTTGAATTGGATGCAAATGGTTTACCGCGGTGTTTGCTGGATCAGGTGGATGAGGTGCCAGTCGATCTTAGTTGGTTGGACATTCTCGGTCCAACAACTGATCCCGTTGACTTGAATGACATCAATGTTATGCCATTGTCATCGCCGCGTTTGGCGACCGCTCTGGATATTCAAGTCAGTGTTGATCGTGACAAGTCTGACAAGAATACACCAGTCTCCGTTACAAACGCCAAAACACCATCCTCATCGACAGCGTTGTTGGATATACCACGCAACTTTCCTTCGCCTTTATATAGGCCTGATTTGACAGCACATATACGCTTAAAGCAACACAACTCCGATTACAGACGAAAACAGGTAGATGAAAATGTTGATATACCCTCACGTGGCCCGATAAACGCTGGCATAGAAAAGTGTCTGAACAACGAAGATCTGATCACCGGAAAGCCGGTAAGTCCCTCAGTTGGCCGGACTAGAGTTTCTTCTGTTCATCAGACAGTTATTCCTTTGGCTATTGACTACTATTGCCTCCCTGACCACTATCCAAATCCGAACTTACTACTCGCGGACCGCCGATATATTTGACTGAGCGAATGTGGTGACTGGCTCCTTATCTAATGGCGTGATTTCAAACTCCAACCTCGACCCGTTGAATAAACCACTGGTTTCTAGCTCGAACGTCTGGGTTGAAACCTCCGTCTATCCCTCAGCTGGTTGCCGCGTCTCATCTTTGTGCCCTTGTTTCAAGACTAAAAGTGTCGAAGTAAGGCATCAGATCAACTATTCATCGGGCTGTGAGCTTGAATTCCTTTTCTCAGCTGGGTTTCTAGCGGTATTGACAACTTGACAGTATTATAGCTTCGTCCTCTCGCGGTGCGCATTAAAATTGCATTGAAAGGTGATCACCGCTGATTGATTACCTTAGTTCAAAGGTCACAGTACCAACAATCCACTTTAAAAATTCCTCAAGTTTCTACCTTGGCCCTTTTTATATTTTTTGTTAGATCTCCAAGCTAATGGAAAATAATAGCATTCTTTAACTTCCGACCTTTTCTATGTGTTAGCCCCAGCGTTTTGCGGTACGTTCCTTACCTAATCGTATCATGCAAACCCGAGCCTCCCCTTGATCTTTCGCCTTCCCCGGATGTCTGGTCCGCTAATTCAAGTGATGTGGACTTTTTAGATCACCGATTGTTGATCCCGTTTTTCCATTTCTCGTTGGTGTGGTCACAGAATTTTAAGTGGTCAGCTATCGTATCTAATCTAATGTTGTCTTATGGTACTGCGTGGTACGCAAAATGAGCTGTTTTACTGGTTCATTTTCTCTCAGGTTTTTAGTATTTCTGATGTAGAAAGTAAGTAGTAAACTGCGGAAGATCAATGGATACCCTGAGAACCCGTCGTTTATACCCAATTAAAAATTCAATCCGTAAACCTGATCTTATTGGCTAATTCGCCTAATGTAGTGCAGCTCGCGACCGAAGATTTGCTAAATCGACTTGGCGATTCACAGCCTGGTTGGGCGCTTTTTGTGGAATTCTCAAGTAGACGTCTCCAACTGTTCGCTTCCCACCCCCCAGACGGCGGTTACTGCCTTAGCTCCACTATGTAGGCAAAGAGACCGTTTCCCGGGTAAGACCGAATCTGATCCCGGTTTCCTTCGTTTCCGATACTCCTGAGGTCAAGTTTTTGGCGGCGTTTCACTGGTCCGGCACGCCCGGACATAAGCAGTGTTCAAACCTTGCGTTCAGCCGGTAAATGAGATGTTCACTGTCGGAAGGACTTCCGTTTACAACTTCATTATTGCTAACAGAGATAACAGTCGACAGTTTTATTATGTTTTATCATAGAAGGATACTCGGCTTTGCCCATGTTTTCTGAATTCGGGTGTTCAGGTGGGTGCTCAGCTCCCGTTAGTCATGATTGACTTTTCGAATCAAATACACTTTTGCGTTGCATTTGGTCTTCTCTACAGCCCATTCTGTTTGTTGGACTTCGATTTGTGACTGATTTTATGACTACTTTCTCTTCAAACTATCACACAGGGTCAACGCTTGTGTCTCACTGCGGAAGAACGGAAAATGTTGCACTCTATGGGCATCCGGTTGCCAACACGGTTCCCCTTAACTCGAGCGGAGGAGAAAGCACTGCGTACCGTGCGGCGTAAAATTCGAAACAAACTCTCAGCCCAGGCTAGTCGAATTAGACGTCAGGAGTACATGGTCGATTTGGAACGTCGAATGGCACTATCTACCAAGGAAAACCAGCGGTTGCGGCGCCATATCGAAACACTGGAAAACGACAAGCGGTTAGTTTGTTTTGGTCCGTGCGGCGTGGCTGTTAGTGGTACTAAAACCGGATGTTTTCATTTGACTTCGTGATTTTTCATATTCATCGTGTTATTTTGCCACGATTGTTGGCCTACTCAAAAATCCCGTTCCCTTGTGAAAATTGCCCTTCTTTTGAGTGGGCGTTTCGAAGCGGGAATTCGATAAGAATTCACTACTCAGAGTTTATCTGTTATATTTTCGGACCCCCGTATCAAGATCTGAGAAGTGTAATGGTTTAGCGTGCGTGTATCGGGTCAATGAATTGACCAAAGTAGCATAATGGGCCAACCAGTTGCGTGTCTTTCGAGCGTAAAAGCGTTCTGGGGAACGTCCAGAATTCTTTGCGTTTTTGAGACGCGTCCTGTGTGCTTCCAACGAAACTGTCAAAATAGCATTCCTGTGACAATTTATTTCATCATCCGTGTTCTGTACTACGTGATACGAATCAAAATCAGTCCATGGGCACAATCAAAAGCACGTTGTTCTCATGTGCATGACTGCATCTAATTTGGCCTCATGTTCAACCTCTTTGTTATCATCCAGTGATCTTCTATCGCACATCCATAAGCTGCGATCCTACATTTCCAAAGTGCTAAACCGTCACGATCGACTCACCCCTCTGCCACTCTTTGTCAAACCAAGAACAACACTGAAGTCTGGATCACAAGCCGCAGCGGCTGGCGGAACCAGTCTTCTGATTTTGACCTTCATGATCCTTGCTTGGACAGCAATGGTACCGTTTCCGTCAATACGTTTCTTCAAGCTAGACGCCCTCTCTCAAGCGGTCGATCCTAAAAGTGCTTACAGCTTCTTTCCAGGTGAGTATCTTTTTTGGAAAGCCACATGGCTGCGTTTAACATCTATCCTAAGCGCAGGTCTGGTTCTGGCGGGCGTTCAAGGGATTCAGTAGTTTTCATTCAGTGGAACACTGGCAAGACTAAGTTACTCGAGGGTTTTCTCAAAGCGGATCCCGAAATATTTGCCTTTTTTGGCCCATGCGCACCTCTACCTCTTTATATGGCAGCTGTTCGTTTACAATGGGACTACGTGTCGTGTTGCACTCAAGGAATGATGCAGCCGAACGTGTATAGATACTTTGCACCTTTTTAAGTATCATACGTTCCTTGCACGCAGGTTAGACTGCCTTCTCATCTTCAAGGCGCCTTGTTTATTCAGAACAATGTATTGTTTCCACATACTTTCAAGAAAAGTTGCTTTTAAAGGAGCCTCAGTGGAAGTTCAACTGAATTTTGGTTTGTACTATTCTTCAGCTGAATATGCTACACAAAGGCCACCTCATGTTTCAATGGGGATGACCGATATTCGAGATATCGAATATTATAAACGATAGATTCAGCTGACTATCCAACCTTCTCGTTAATACCACCTCATCGGCAGACGTTCAGCTTGGTGTTCATGCATGGAATGAGATAAACTGGAATTCTGAGGTGACTCTTAAGGAGGTCGCAACCGGTAGTGGGCTGTCCGCATTTCTCATCAACCTTATGAGCAGTGTCACTTGAAGGGGTACATTATTTTCTTCCTATATGGGTCCATGTACAAATAATCACTGCTGGGTTCATCTTGAATCTATTGGGAGAGCTTGATATTTTGTAGCGTTTGTAGATTTTAAGTCAGTCATTGTGAGAAAAGCGGCAGACACTTGTATCTCTGTCAAGGCTTTTTCTACTGCATGTTGGTCGCAGACTGATTGATATTGAGGATTTGCGTCTCTCTCCACTTTTGTTCTTAGGGATCGTTCAACGTATACTGATTTCTTACACTGATGTCACTGTTCGGAATCTGAACAGTACTAGTTGCGTTGCCACGTGCAAGTGTTGATGCCAATTTAGACCCAATGAAACCGCAGTCGTCATATGGTTGAGAAATATTGACATATTGATCAACATCGAATAACCCAGTCAATTAAATACCAAGGAGCTTGTGGACTTCGACGACCCCTTCAGTTCTTGACGTAAAACTTGAAATCAGGTATGAGGCTACCTGTAACAACCAAGCGGTATCTTCGATTGACGCGTAATACCAGAACCCCCGGAAGGGCAAAACAAAGTTGGAACTGGGTTTCTATACGGTACTATTAGTGTAAGACAAATTCATAAATTATACAAACCTCGACAGTAGATACTCGTCCAAAACAACTAGTCCACTTGGACTGCAAATGTACGAACCAAATCAGCAAACGTGAGACAAAGTCGGCCACAAATGGCTGGATTACCTCAAGGCCAAATGAGTGGTGGTGAAGACAAACAAACGCCAGTTCATGTACACACACAAAAGTGGAGCGGGGGTTTACGAATGGGGACAGAATAAATGTGGGGAATTTCAATTGTCAATGTAATGGATGTTACACCGCCCGCCAAATTCTCCACGTTGATTCAGCGGACGCCTCGGTTCTTGCACTCTATCTATGCTCAGCTCCATTCTAAGGTACCCCATCAGCCACCGACACGAATGGTACTAGTCCACTCCTGCCACAAGTGCCGACTTCAATGGAGTACAAGCCTAATCGCGTCTATCCAGTAACCGTACCCTTCTAATATCCCTCTTGAGAAAACCACCCACCGTTTTAACATACCGGGTTCTTATGGAGCCATCTGAGCTCACCTTAACTATCTCCAACCAGTAGATGCCATTTTTCACGAGGCACATCTCCATCAGAGGTTAGAGCCTCTTTCTTCATCCGGTCTGCTTTAATCATTGAATATTGGTTGTAACGTGGTGACCAAGCTACAATCTCCTATAGCTTCACCCAACAGGAAAACCGGGCTATTAGTACGCATACACCATTATTTCACTCGAGTTTGTGGACATGTGGTACAAAGCTCTTCGATTTGATCGATTCGGGCTGCGTCAATCCAGGCTGTGGAGGTCAATTACTCTGCAGCTCGAGTAAAAAATTTGATCCAGTTAACCATCCACGCAGCGGGCCGAGGTTGTACGTCCCTCAAGAGGCAGCGTCGATTGGATTGTTTTCCGACGTCACGTGTCTTGTGGCAGGATTGGACTAGTACCATTCGTGTCGGTGGCTGATGGGGTACCTTAGAATGGAGCTGAGCATAGATAGAGTGCAAGAACCGAGGCGTCCGCTGAATCAACGTGGAGAATTTGGCGGGCGGTGTAACATCCATTACATTGACAATTGAAATTCCCCACATTTATTCTGTCCCCATTCGTAAACCCCCGCTCCACTTTTGTGTGTGTACGTGAACTGGCGTTTGTTTGTCTTCACCACCACTCATTTGGCCTTGAGGTAATCCAGCCATTTGTGGCCGACTTTGTCTCACGTTTGCTGATTTGGTTCGTACATTTGCAGTCCAAGTGGACTAGTTGTTTTGGACGAGTATCTACTGTCGAGGTTTGTATAATTTATGAATTTGTCTTACACTAATAGTACCGTATAGAAACCCAGTTCCAACTTTGTTTTGCCCTTCCGGGGGTTCTGGTATTACGCGTCAATCGAAGATACCGCTTGGTTGTTACAGGTAGCCTCATACCTGATTTCAAGTTTTACGTCAAGAACTGAAGGGGTCGTCGAAGTCCACAAGCTCCTTGGTATTTAATTGACTGGGTTATTCGATGTTGATCAATATGTCAATATTTCTCAACCATATGACGACTGCGGTTTCATTGGGTCTAAATTGGCATCAACACTTGCACGTGGCAACGCAACTAGTACTGTAGTCCACTCCTGCCACAAGTGCCGACTTCAATGGAGTACAAGCCTAATCGCGTCTAGTAAGTAACCGTACCCTTCTAATATCCCTCTTGAGAAAACCACCCACCGTTTTAACATACCGGGTTCTTATGGAGCCATCTGAGCCTTAACTATCTCCTGCCACAAGTGCCGACTTCAATGGAGTACAAGCCTAACCGCGTCTATCCAGTAACCATACCCTTCTAATATCCCTCTTGAGAAAACCACCCACCGTTTTAACATACCGGGTTCTTATGGAGCCATCTGAGCTCACCTTAACTATCTCCAACCAGTAGATGCCATTTTTCACGAGGCACATCTCCATCAGAGGTTAGAGCCTCTTTCTTCATCCGGTCTGCTTTAATCATTGAATATTGGTTGTAACGTGGTGACCAAGCTACAATCTTCTATAGCTTCACCCAACAGGAAAACCGGGCTATTAGTACGCATACACCATTATTTCACTCGAGTTTGTGGACATGTGGTACAAAGCTCTTCGATTTGATCGATTCGGGCTGCGTCAATCCAGGCTGTGGAGGTCAATTACTCTGCAGCTCGAGTAAAAAATTTGATCCAGTTAACCATCCACGCAGCGGGCCGAGGTTGTACGTCCCTCAAGAGGCAGCGTCGATTGGATTGTTTTCCGACGTCACGTGTCTTGTGGCAGGATTGGACTAGTACCATTCGTGTCGGTGGCTGATGGGGTACCTTAGAATGGAGCTGAGCATAGATAGAGTGCAAGAACCGAGTTAGGCTTGTACTCCATTGAAGTCGGCACTTGTGGCAGGAGTGGACTAGTACCATTCGTGTCGGTGGCTGATGGGGTACCTTAGAATGGAGCTGAGCATAGATAGAGTGCAAGAGCCGAGGCGTCCGCTGAATCAACGTGGAGAATTTGGCGGGCGGTGTAGCATCCATTACATTGACAATTGAAATTCCCCACATTTATTCTGTCCCCATTCGTAAACCCCCGCTCCACTTTTGTGTGTGTACATGAACTGGCGTTTGTTTGTCTTCACCACCACTCATTTGGCCTTGAGGTAATCCAGCCATTTGTGGCCGACTTTGTCTCACGTTTGCTGATTTGGTTCGTACATTTGCAGTCCAAGTGGACTAGTTGTTTTGGACGAGTATCTACTGTCGAGGTTTGTATAATTTATGAATTTGTCTTACACTAATAGTACCGTATAGAAACCCAGTTCCAACTTTGTTCCTTCCTTCCGGGGGTTCTGGTATTACGCGTCAATCGAAGCTACCGCTTGGCTGTTACACCACCAATGAACGCTCGAAAAAGTGAACAGGTGAGCGAAGATAAGAGATTCGAAACTTATGAATGTTTTGTAGCCTGTGCATTCCGTTCTACTATGTGTTTGTTCCCACAAGACCACTACTTGGAACAATGAATTCTCAGCGTTCTGTTGCACAACCACACATTTACTATATTCTCCTATTTCACAACTCGTTCAGGACGTTCCCGCACTCTGTTAGAGAGTAAGCCTATCGAGAATGTGGCGTTGGAAAAAGATATCGCAGAAGACGACCGGCTCTCATATTCTTCTATCCCGTCTCATAGGACACATGGAAAGCAAAAACCAGAGCTCCCTTCTTTGGAGGTTAGTCCGATGATACCTCTGTTTTTGTTTCACCATATATCACTCTCTCCTGTTGACAGAAAAACGTATACGGGACAACAGTCAATCATATACAATGCATACCTGTGAACAGTTACACCAAGCAGACACTGGTCTTGTTCTGTGTTGTTTGCGCAGCAAGAAAATATTATTTCTATACACCATAAATGAGCTAAACTCTCAGTGGCATTTGCTCTTGCGAGTGTTAATGTCATATCCACGTTTTGGTGTGTTTATGTGATATGACGCTCGCACTGGCTCGATTCGGGGCTGCAGTAATAGTGCGTTTCCACGGTATAAGTATGAAAGCTGATGGTTTAAGTAGGACCGACGTGCCGAGCCGAACCCACACAATGTGACGATTAGGACATTAGACCAATATCTTTGGTTCAAGGGACCGAACTGTCGTTAGTAGACAGAGGACTAGTAGATTTGCTCTCCGAGCTTTCAATTCAGATGTTGCAGCTTCACAAGTACAATCGGCGAGTGTGTGTCCCTTATTGTAACTGCTAACTTCATAAGATATATACTTGCCTACTGCTTCCCGCAGCTACTTACATTCAGTGAAGGTGGGCGACTCTGTTTGGCTAATTTCCTCGAAAACTGTCATGGTTGGTTATGATAAGGCGCTTTGGAATCCTACGATAGACCCTGTAGAAATCGTGAATTATTACTTAAGTAACCTAGGGAGGTTCCACAAACGAATACAATTGTCGCTTTGTGTCTCTAATCCACAAACCGGCCATCCTCCTTTTGGACACGTTATTTGGACACCTGAGATCTCCGGGACTTCAGTCGTGATAAGGTTGTAGAATAACTGAGGTTTGCCATACCGGCATTAGGCTGACTTAGTTTGAACTCTACAGGGCGGTTAGTTCACTTGACCAGGTTTTACAACAGTGGAACCATTATTTTTTCATCCGTTAGACAAGGTGTCTTTGTTACCAAGTACGCAAAAACCTTGAACTCCGTACTCAAACGAACTTTAAAGTTTGCATGGATATGAGCACTTGAAGAAATCAGAAGTGCACTCCTTTCGACATCTAAAACCTCTCCCCTGAACTAATGTCTTGAAAGTGTATTTGCTTGTAGTTAGTGCATACTGCACCGGATATCTGTTTTCTTTCATATCCAGCAGTTCGGGGCTACTTTTCATGCCTACGAGCGGTTGTCACTGGTACTTCCCCATGGGCGGAGTTTTACACGAAAAACGAGATGCGTGATACTGTTACATGATCCGTCTGAATTCTGTTCGTGCAGCTATTTATGTGCTGTACGTGATCCATACATTCTTGTTAAATCGTCACCATCCATTTTACAAAACGATAGTGACGTTACAGCGAGGTCAAGCTTTGTCAGACTCCTTGTCGGACCTATCGATTTCTATGTAACCAAGGGGGCGAGATGGACCAAGTGTTTAGAGCGCGAATTTACTGACTGGAAGGTCCGTGTTTCGAAACCGACCTCTGCCACTCAACTTCCCCTGTCTAGGCTTGGGCAACCTGGCAGTATCCCAGCCCTCGTACCTCCTTCGTGTGGCATGGCAGCTAGGCACCGAAAGGGTGCTACAGCTGGACGACTATGTAACCAAGCGTTGAATAAAGGATCTGTCACATTTTTTCGCTTAAGGCATCCCCAATACATAACTGTTACAACAAGCTGCTAGCTTGAGAAGCATCCTGCGCGGCATGGCGTCGTTTCTCCAGCTTCTTTTTTCTTCCTATCTTAGGCGTGGTCAGCATTGGAACAGATCTGGTTGATCACTATTTTTGATGAAACTAATAGAGTCCCATCCGGAATAAGCCCTTTACCTTAACTCGTGCATCTCTTTCATTGGATTTCTGGTTACGAATGGTCAGGATTCGTTGTTTGGATCCTTGTGGTGGAGCTTCAAAGGAGGTTTTTGGTGCGATCTACCTGAGCGTTATTACCCCTATCCAAAGCATGCTCATATCACTTCAACCGATCAGAAGATATTTATTTGGGACTCCGGTTACGTGCGTGTTGGATATCTTCCATTCTCCCTTTCTGTTCGTGTGCTAAGTTAGTAATTGACGGTGGTCACGGATCTGCTCCTATGCCATTTTTTTTTCGTGAACCAGATGTGCTGACTGCCTGTTCAGATGGTAAACCGATAATTTGAAACGATCATGCGGGCACGTCACTTGAGCGCCATCTTCGGACACGAGTACGTCGACCCGGGATCGAGCTCAGTGTCCCATTCGGTACGATCAAACGACCAATTTAGGATGATCGGCACGATAGCTCATCAGTGCCTTATTTCGGTCGTTGGCTGAAGCCACAGTGTGAATGGTATAATAATGGTAGAAGAGTTGAACAACACAATAACACAGTCACTGCAGTGTAACTACTGTTGCAACAACACGCACTAAATCATGTGGCCACAGTGATGAAACAGACCCAACTCGCATAACGATATGGCAGCGTTGTGAAGGACATCATGGATAAAACGTTTGCTTGTCCCCGAAAAGAGCGAAATACGATAATATCGTTTGAATGAGAGACGATGTAACGAAGATATGGTGGGCTGGCATTCGTTTTCGCAACTATCCGTCGCATTAAAATACGCCGCGCGCAATAGGTAATGTTACATGCGGTCGTTCAGCCAACTGGATTACTTTTACCCTGTCTAAACCAGATGATGAACAGGAGGACGCAGTTTCAAAGCTATTAGCATGCCTAACTGGTGACCCATAAATTCTGAATCGAAACACCTGAACAATGCATGCCAAGGATCGTCCCGTTTCCCCCACCATTCATAAGATCCGCGCATTACCAGCTAGTCCTAAGCATTATTCAGCTTGGTCTATGCAACGACGGTCATAGAGGAATACACTGTATTATCAAACTACATTTTGTAACGGTGGGTGTCGGGATATACAGTGAATAATTGGGTGTGGCCTCCAAGGATACCCTGATTTAGTGAGCTGTATTTACCCTTGTGTCTATAAACTAACCGTCAGGTTCGGTATTTTTAGCTGGGCAGTAATGGAGTTCGTGGTTATTTATTGTATTGCTCTTTGAATGAGAAGTTACCTCTGTATCCGGGTATTCAGGCTCTGGTTGCGTATTTCAATCACGTGTTCTTCAGCAAACGCACTCACTTACATGATGAGACCAAGCATAACAACAGGGGGGTTAGATAATTTCGTTATGCTTGGGACCTAGCCTCATTGTTAAGTCATCTAACCATTCAACACAAGGCCAGACCTTCAAGAATAACACCACTGATTCACTGGACTGTTATCCAAATGAGGCCCTCGTACATAACCTCGCAAATGACAGAGTGAATTATTGGTCGGGTCCACTTACACAACTTTGATTGTGAGATTTTCTCTGTTAGGCCAGTCTTTCCGTTTGCTTTTCTTTTTATCTAGATTAGAAGTTTGATTAGGATTTGTCGTGCGATTATGTATTCTCCGTTAACGTAACGCGTTTATGGATGCATTGTTCGAGATGGCATCATATCGTACTGTGGTGGGTTGCGTCGCCTTGTCCAGCAGTTGTAAGTGTCAACGTGGATCGCTTTTTGTCCTCCATATGGTGATATAACGGACTTGTCAACAGATTCCCGCTTGCCAATCCGAATGAACCGTACCGGTCGGTAAAAGCCAAGGTTAACTATGCACCATAAGGTTTAACATGTCAAACTAATGGACTCTTTTGTTTGGCATCTTTATACGATGGGGAGTAACACTGTCAGGTAATTCGATCCAACTCATTCGAGCTTACGAGAAAACGCCCCTTTTAGGTGGCTGCTTATTGCATCGGTCCAAAACGGGATCGCCGCGGAGGGTAGCGTAACCCCGTTCTCCTCCATTAGATGCGTGTATTTATCGCAACCTTACTGACTATTTTGTACTCCAGGGAAATGATACGTGATAAATTTGCTTCAACCGTCGATACCAAAAGCTTTGGACCCCATTTTATAGTGAACTCAGCAGAGCCTTCCAAATGTCATCGCCTTATAGGGATAGTCATTTTAAAGGAGTGCATCGTGTAGGGTTCA